GTGTTGGTAAACCCTTGGCTCTTGGAGAAAGATGTTGTATTATTGAGAAACTGCCCTCTGAGACAGGTAGGCAAAGTGGAGTGACAGCGTGTGGGGGCTAGCTCGTGTGCTCCCAGCACCCCAGCCAACGATCAACACGCCAACACAAACACTATCGGAACAATATACTACTCGCAACGTTCCAACAACGTAATGTTCCGATCCCTACAACCGAACTAGAACAATTCCTGTTGAGGGTAATCATCCCACGTGCCACATCCATGCAACGTCCACACAACGTGCACCTAACGTGCACCTAACGTGCACCCTACTGACTATCTGCTGATCCAACTCCGAACAGTATAACTTCCACAAGGAACTTTCTCTGGAACTACACAGACAGACAGTTCTGATATTCAAACCATCCAATCAGATGATCTACAGCAGCAGTTCAACCGATACACACTGCCGCTACATCACCAATACCCTCCTGGTTTTCATAGCTGGTCTCAGACCAGCGTCTCAGCGGTGATGCGTTTGTTGGTGTTCTTGCGTCGGTGTCGGTGTTTCTCGTCCTGGATTGAATCGCGCGTGCGCGCGATCTCCGCTTTTGTGCACGCCTTTTCGCGTAGAAACCCAGGGTTGGGGAGCAAAATCCCCTCCGAATATAGGCTACATATGCTGGTGAAGCACGGCTATCTACTCTCGGAGCACGACGAAACCGGTGTGGAGAAGAGCGTGCTATTTTTCGTCTTCCTCAGAAGCAAACAGATCGTCAATCGGTGCCCAATAGACCTCGTTCTGGTCCCAATGGTGTGCTAAACAGGCTTCCCCGTAATCAAGTTTCGGGGCCCCTGTATCGCGCGGCACAACTTTGGCCAATACATAGATAGAGCCATTTTTTTCCCTCCTGCGAACGAAGGGAAAAAATATTGCTCGCTTTCGCTCCGAGGCTCATCACAATATGCGTATCTTGGAATACAGATGGCGCCACCGCACTTAAGATCCTCTGGTTTCGGCCGAGGCTGGGGTTCATATTGTGCTAATCATCCTCTTGTGGGCTACAAATGACCGCTATATTGGTTTTAGTGTGGGGTTCTTAGCCGAGCTCACAAACGGTGCTCAAGTTTTCAGCTTCTGATTTTTGGCGAGTCTCAATTTCTTTACTGCTTTAAGTGCGGGCGCCATCTGTAGTCTATGCCCTATGCTCATTTTCTAGGCAGATATTCCGTCCGACCCATCCTGGCTGAAGAAGTCGTTCTCTCCTGCCTCCTGGGATTGCGACCACGACTGACCCTTAACCCTTTCCGGTTGCTGAATACTTTCATGGCTCGACCAACATCCTCGTTGCCGGCGCGGCAACAGCAGTTCATCGACAGCAAGCAGTTCATCGACGGCAAGCAACATGGAAGACGAACAAAATCATCAACTGACGTCACCTCCCGTGGTGGAAACGTCGTCAGCAACGGCAGGAGCTAGCGCAGAAATCTGCAGCAGCAACAGGAACGATGCTGGCAATGCCAGCCCTGACGGATTCGCTTACAGAGAAGGCCGAAACCGAAACCAACGGCACGGACGCTCTGCAGCAACATCTACACGAGTCAAGACGTGCGTATGACACATCACCACAAGAAAGAAAAACATATCAGCATATATATGGAAGGCTCTACTGTACCTACAGTACACTCAGTCCACAAGACAAATTATTGGGGAAAATGCGCCCCTTTCTATCCGCTATATCTACCTTACCAACTTCTCTTACTCCCCTCATATATCAGTGCAGGTGTGCGTTGATTTTGGATGTAGATTATTATGTATTTTCTTTGTTCGCACCGTAGACTAGATCCACTGCATGGTCTATACATGTACATTTCCATGCATAGTATTTATGTGAACCATGACTCCAGGGTGGACGAAGAGAGACTGCAGCGCGCCTAAGACGGAATGACTTGTGGGATTGTTCACCATTACGCAGGCAGGACCTCCAGACAAAGGACTTCAACTACAGCAGGGTCAACAGCAAGCTCCGCCGACACCAGCAGGTAGACAAAGTGTAATTGCATCGGTGCTCAAAGCATGCAGTCGAAGCAAGCCAAGAGTCGTTGCTATGGGGAGGCGTCCTGCGGACAAATAGCTTGAGACTCCAGTACACAAACACTGCTGCTGTACGCAGGCCAATGTCAAACCTCACATAATTTCACAGGTGGTTACACGAAACCTGTGCATGTAGTCTTTGCCAGTAAAAGGTGATGCATTCCATGCATGTATGGGACATGTACGTTGTCGCATTTAGTCGACCGTAGCAGGTTTGATGTACCGTAGGGCGAGCGGTGCATCACCTCAATAGCATTGTGAAAGCTTCATGCCGCGGGTCAACTGCCCCCCCCCAAGGGAAGTAGGCCATGGACCCTGGATGCGTGCACGACGGCGTCCCATCGACCCCCTCCCTCTCGTTGATCCCGGTGTAGATCGACGACTTGGATAAAAGCCTGAGAGAAGAGCAAGAAACGTCGCGACGGCTGCGGTCCGCGGTTTTGATTTTAGAGGGCAAGCTAATTGTCGCAGAAGAGGGGCGGCGCCGCTCCAATGGATTGGAAAGGGCATTTTTCAGTCATCTCACGGAAGTCGAGGCGTTGGTGCTCCAGAGGGACCGGCTCATGGCTCCAGGTGGGGCCTCTGAGTAAGGCAGGACCTCCTAATTTCAGTGTCCTCTGAGTAGATCATGAACACACCTTTCCGAGATATCTGTGGGTAGGTGGGGGAACTACAGTACACCACATTTTCTTCCGGGATCGCCGTTTTACACGGACCGACGTTTTGTCAAAAATTTTGAAAGTGTCAAAAAAATGGAACCTGTATGTAGGCGTTTGTCCATTTTTTCAAAAATATTTGGAACGAAGTTGGGCGCGAAAACTTTGCTCCACTTCGTTCCAACTTTTTGACAACCCTCTCAAAGTATTTGGAGCACTTTCGGTTCCATTTTTTTGACACTTTCAAAAATTTTGACAAAAAGTCGGTCCGTTAAAAATGGCAAGACAAATGGCTTTCGCTAGTACTACCTTTCAGAACTATGTGGGAAGCAACGAATCCATCCATCTAGTCTCCCCGTGTTTCGCGAATCACGTGCCTGCTTGTGTTGCATGCACCCTCCCCCCATGGCACGCAGGTGCGGACGAAACTCGAGCGCAGTGTCTCGAGGCGGCGAGAAGGGAGGCACACGAACGGCTGGCAAACACACTTTGGCGAGAACTGGGGAGAAACAGCGCCAGGAGGTGATACAGACGGCACATGAAGAGGGCTCTGAAGCTCCTCGATATACCTGTCCATGCAAGACATACCCTTGGTTTGCCTACTTCGCTTCTGAACCTTTCACTTCGCACGCCTCGGGCGTCGCCCAGGGCGGAGTTCATTTGGCCCGTACGACAAAAATATTTCAACCCACCTAACGTAGACGGATTAACACATGGGGCAAACGGCTGGGCGACTACAAATTTTAAATATGGCTCGATACTTCGGTACGGATGGAATAAAACATCCATAGAGCAACCGGGGCCGAGTGGGTCAAGATCCGTTCGGTATGCCTTCGGTTTGCCGACGCACCATCCGGACGTGTTCTCGATACAGGTCTGACGGGGGGGTTGATCCAGGAGACCGTCCTTCTTCCAACTCGGCGACAGTCCACCGGACCGTCGTTTGTACTCCAGCTCAAGAGACGTCCGTTGTTGACAACGCCCGACAGCAAATAAGGAATGGTTTTAAAGTCACCGTAAACCCAGCGTGGGATAGGCCAGAGCAGGCAGATCGGGAGCGCCATCGAAACCCCGATATACCTTGTCGCCGGAACAACCAAGGCAAGCACGGTACCGATTCCACCTATTCCCCTGCATCATGCGAGGGAAAACAGACTGAAATTGACCTATCTAGCAGCATGAATGGCGTGAGTTGTCCGCCTCCTCCCTCCCCTAGTTGCTGGGAGTCGGACGCCGTGGTGCATGCTTACTGCAGCGCAGCAGCAGGGGCGGTTCGAAGGATGTCGTCAGCGTTGTTCGGCCAGGAGTTGCTAGCCGTGGAGGCTGCCCGAGCATCGGCAGCCGAGAGGGAAAGGATGCTCCAAGAGGAGACGAGGGCGTTGCTTGATTCTCAGGTTCGTGCCACGGTCTAAATGGTACACGTGCGGCGAGTCGGGTCGGCCGGCGGCGGGTTTTGCCGACAATGCCACCTTGGGGGTCGGAATGTTGACTTTTACTGGAAGGTGTGAGTAGGAAAAATGCCAGCATGTACGCGCCGTACGTGTGAGCGAACATATGGTCGTGTCAGCCTGTGGGTTTCGGGACAGCGAGGGTCCCTCCGTGGTTTTGCGGGTACGTCGATTTTGAGGGTATCGGTCTCGCGATGTGCTTCTTGATCCTTGCCGGAGGGATTGGTTGTCGGTAAAGACGGTGAAAGGGGTCCAACATCCCGGGGGATATGATGGAAAGGGTCACGGCCTCGAGTTGACACGAGCTCAGTTTTGAGGCCCTCTGCCGGAACGCAATAACCCGCGGCTTGACCGGGTTCGCGGCGATTTATTGTCAAGTCGCCCTCGTGGCCTAACCGAGTACATCGTCATCTCGCTAGGGTCGGATGCTATACACGATGACGCCCTACGTTTCGTTTCGCAAATGGCCGTTCTTCGATGGCTACTCAAAGTCGTTGCACTGCGCGGTTGCGGTTCTTTGTCTCCACATTGAGAGAGGGGACCGTGCTGTCGGTGGGAACTTCGTCGCATCAACGTCATGGTGTGGTCACCGTATCCAACAAGCTTTGACGAAACAATGAACACGTCGTTACTCTCAGGTTTCCCTCCAGGTGGAGAAGGACCAGCTAGAAGGTGTCAAGGCCAGCTTGCGGGCGGAGGTAATGACATGTTCATGCGTAATCACTAGCTGACGCACTTGGAACAGGGATTCGGGGGGTGACTGTGGGCACGCTTCATTCGATGGTCCCACTGATTGCCGCCCTTCCGGCCAAATCAAGCTGCCCTGGTGCTGAAGATTTGTGGTTGTCGGAACAAGCTGCCGTGGAGGCTGATTTCAGCCTGACCAAGCATCAACCATTCAGACGGAAATGAAATCATTCAAGTCCAGAATGCATGCTATTTTTCCCTAGGGAAGGAGTTGATGGGCTGCTGTAGATTTCCATTCGTGCGTTTTCATCGATGAAACGGGTCACGTACAGTATCAAAGCAGATATTATCCGTCAAACGCACACGAAAACGATTTTGTCCTTCATGCACACGAGCGTTTTGAACCAATCGCTCTTAGGTTCGCGAGGCCAAGGCAGACCTGAAGAAGGCAAAGGAGAAATACCGGCAGCAACAGGACTTGGTCAAAGATGCGGAGACCGTCCATTCGAGCCTCAGCTGGCGTATCCTCTCCTTGCAGGTAGCTACATAGACTACATTGAACTTTGTTTCAATCCTTAGACGACTGTACGTGCGCAGAGAGAACGTTTGACTCGGACATGTGGAAAGCCTCGCCCACGGTGATTGTGTAGCTTGTGGTAGAGTCTTCGCAGTTTCCTTGTTTCATTCCCTGGTGTCATTGGATCATAGTGCTCACGTGTCTCACTTGTCTCTATCACTGCCATCTGTGACGTGTTCCTCGTAGCCTCGAAACCCCCACCACTCCGTTCGTTGGTTTAATAGTCTATGCCGTTCTGGTCCGGAATCGAAACCACATGCTGCGAGACAACGTACTGTAGGGAATGGTGGATGTGTTGGTATCAACAAACCGCATGTCACGACTTTGCAAACAATCAAATTAAATTTGCAACAGTGTGCCAGCCAGAGTGGTCCATCTGGTTGAGAACTGTACTCAGCCAAGCGCGTGAGAGGCTAAAGAATACCCACCAGTCTGGCATGGGTTATTGATTCGGGGTCGTTGTTCAATCCACCAGGTCGCTCGAGACGAGCTTTCACAAGCGGTGGGGGAACGCCTGCGTGTCATCCAGACCGCCGTGTACCGGCGTGTAGGCTACTTGCCGCGGGCCGTCGAGGGCGCTGTTAACGACCTAGTTGCCTTGTGTTCTGCACCTGGCCCGTCTGACGGCGAATTGGGCGACGGCAACAGCACCAGCATCGAGAAAGAGCTTCTGCTGGCTGAGAATAGTGGCTCGAGCGTGTCTACAAGCACGTCGAGAAAATGTTCCCACAATCCTTAGTCGTGATCATATTTTCCGTTCTGTTTGGTTCTTCGCGTGGCAGCAGATGACTGACATCGACGCGTGTTCTTCACCGAGCACGGGATGGTCAAAAGCCGATACATGTTCGAGCAAACAAATTTCAGGCGCACAGCGCCACCGGATACACAGTGTACCATCGAACTTCAAGACGAACAACAATACAAGCCGCAACGAGCAATGCAGTACTGCTGCACAACACCAAAAAAGATACATGGGGTACATCATTACGGCAAAAGACACTGGACACGCCGACCAAGAGAGAACCGACGGCTCGGAGAGGGCTCAATTCCAAGTTCCAACACGTGGTCCACGTAATAGCTGTCGATCGGCAGCGCACCCCCCTTTTCGTTCTCTCCAAACAACAGAGTACAACCAGCAGTTGCGGTCCTTGGCTCATCCAAGCCGTAGACGTCGCAGCAGTACCATGACTGAAGCAACAACATGATCATGGATCAGCACCGACGGACTTTGGGAGATCGGCACGCGAACCCCACTCCGACCATGACCCGTCGTAAACAGGGGAAAGTTCCGCCTTTCTCCCCGCAAGCTCGAGGGCTAATGTGAGCACCGCCGCGGTAACACCAGATCCGCACGTCGTGGTGATGGGGAGGGGAGAGTCGACGTCAACGCCCGCGTCTTCGAAAGCCTTCCGGATCTCTTCGGGAGATCGAAAGCTGTAGCGTGGTTGCGTTTCAACATAAAGTTCAATTCATCGGTGGGGGTGGGCGAGGCGGGATAGAGAACTTGAGAAAAGTGCGGCTGACGAGCATTGGCATTTCGCGACAGAGCTGTGGTGACGCCAGGTACAAACACCTACATATGAGCGATGAGCGTGTTACGTACATGTGGCGAACGAACGCTCAAACGCATTCTACGCTGGTGTCCTGCTAGCTATGTGAAGGGCGTAACATTATAGGCAAGACAGAGAATAGTGAGCAACCCCGCATTTCTGTTGCCATTGGGAAAGAGAAAAGGGGGGCGATTGGGGTTGCCGACCGTTGGACCGAGCAACCTCTGTTGAAGTCAACATGACTCTACCATCGGGTCCATGCATATCGCACGCATTCGATTTCCCACGCTAATGCTGCAGCGGATGGGGGACCGAAACAAACATCTGTTTGCTTCCTCGAGCGGCGGTAGATATCAATTCGTCTTTTTCTGCTTCCAATGGTGCATGCTGACGGCGAGAATACGGTATCAGCAATGAAAATTGACATCGATAGGGGTGGCACGGCCGGTTTGCATAAACAACTTGCACAGTCCCGTTTTGAGCCCAAACTTCTTGCCACCTGTTAACGTCTCCATCCGCCAAAACCTTGGTGAATGGCAGGCACGCCGACCCAGGGACGTGGCCCCCTGCAACCCCAGCCCTTGGCTCTGGCGCCTCAGCCTTGAACCTCGCGAGGGATCGAGCGTCTACCACTTGCCCGGCCGCCTCTTTGCCCTTCTCGCTCTGACTGAGAACCTGGGGCAACATCAAACACGCCCGGAGTCTCGTTATCGTGGGATCCGGCGACTGAGGATGTGGTGCTGAATGATCGATAAAAACCGCCGCTGCAACTACCCAAGGTATCTGCGGATATCCTAGCGCAAGGTGCGGAAGGGGCAGTCAGGAGTCCTGCGCGTTTTGCCCTCGAAGCCCCCGTCCGGGCATACCTGTCGCCAGGTTCGTAGCATGGCCGCGTTCAGTCGTCCCTGGAAGCCCTTGGACCTCAACATCCACGCGTTGCCGGACGTTTGGACCAGGCCGGAAGACGGCCGCGTGCTCACTGGTGTCACCTCGCCTCGCTCCACGCTAACGCAGGTGAAAGGACAAAGCCCAGCATGATTCGAGAACACAGCCACGAAATGGCAGTGGCACGTAAAAATATGTACGCACACTTCGAGGCAGCATGAATGTACAACAGCCGACAACATCCCTCAAGCACCGCCGATAAACCTGAATTTGTTGATGAAGCAAAAAAAAGGAGACACAAATATGTGCCGCCCCTGCGATATCCATCCAGCCTACACGCACAGCAGTAGGTGGATGCACAAACACGTACGGGACACCAAAGACCGAAAGAAAGCGTGGGTCCGTTGATTTGAGAGCTGGTGCCCTTGGGTGTGCACAAACGATTGTTCACAAGATGGAGAAGAAAAATGATAACGTCTGAGGCGCCGAATTTGCTTGACGGCCTTTCCCATGTAGCAACGCTGGGATGGTGTCCACCAGGCGTTTTTGGGGCATCCATCGCGGCACAGATCGACCACCAATATTGCATGGAGAGAGGCAAAGGTGAAGAAGGATGTCACTGTGTTTAAGTTTACTGGACGAGAGAGGGTACCTCCCGCCAGCTGATTCCCACGCGGGGAACCCGCCGTTGAGCACGTGCACCCTCTCGTGCCCGAAGGCCCGGAATGTCCACCAACAGCGAGGGGCACTGAAGGAGCCCTTCTTGGTGTAGACCACGATCGTGTCGTTGCTCGACAAGCCCAACTCCGACGCCTTCGTGGAGAATACATCTACGGAAGGAATCCTGGACGAGTCCGGGAGTATGCGGGGAGGCCGCGGTTCAGTCAGTCAGCGAGAAAAGGCGACGTCTGTCAGCGAGAATAGGGTGCGAGGTCAAACAGAAAAAACACGCGGGAAGGGGTGGAACAACGCGGCGCAATAACAGCGACAAGCAGAGGAGAACTTACATGTGAGGCAAGGGCACCCCTGCGTCGGCAATTTTATCGATGTCGAAAAACACCGCTCCCGGCAGATGACCCTCCTTGAACTCCTCTATGGCGTTTCGGTCCCCGCCGAGGTGCCAGGAGGCATCCACGCAGCGGATCGAATCGGGAGACTTGGCCAGGGCCTCCTTAACCTTGAGAGACGTTTAGAAACCGACGCCGTGATGAAAAGAGAAGTTCGGGCGAAGATGGGGCGCCAATATGGTGTTTGCCTTCCGAACCAAAATGGTTGTATATGAGATGGATCACAAATTACCACTTGAACTACCGGGAGCCGGAGGAATATCTAGCCCATCAGACAGTTATGTCCCTTCGAGACGCCTAAGGTGCAGCACGACATATTGGGTGTGGCAGCTGAGAACGTCCGTTCGTTTATCCAGATCGGGGGTTCCTTTGCCCCAGGAGGAGCCTTCTTGCACTTGGGGCATCGTCGGATGGCAAAAACCCTCTTGGTTTGAATAGCTTCCATGTTGCAACAATCCCAATCTCTCAGAAGCAAAACAGAGGGACGGGGTTGTGAGAAGGCTGCGGAGAGGTGAAATTCGCTTCAGCACTTGATTGCGGGACCGAAAAACACCGAAGAAGGGGTCCTGAACGGCACTAAATTGCGCTCTTCGCAGGCATTGCATAGAAGTGCCGCCAATTTGGCGACGACCGGGGCACGACGAAAAAGGTTAAGGGAGGGATCCCAACCTATTCCGATGTTCACTGATTTTGGAAAAAACGCAAGAGCACCAGAAGAGCGCACACGAGACGCACAAGACCAGTCGGAGGGCATCGGGAAAAACAGAAACGGTTGATTTAGGGCGGCAGTCGAGGCTGCTCAAAACATGCATATCATGAGTCCACCTCCACACCCCTCGTTCTAAATCAAGGTAAAGATCACACCAGTCCGAACATCATGACGAGGCGTCGTGTGTGCTGGCGCGCTCAGGTTTGCTGCTGAGCTGAAATCTCGAGGGTCGTAGTAGCGGCCTACAATCTCCGCAAATTTTTAACATAAACCCCTTGTCTTGTGCTGCTTGTGCTCGCCGCCATTGACCCCAATCTCCTGATGTGTGGGTTTACAGCCGCAGCTGATGCCACTGGTGCATAGTTACTTGCCGTTCAGGGCTTTGCAGTCCGTGGCGGCGAGAGCAAGCAGTACAAGACACGGGGCGTTGGTCTAATGTGCGATTATTTGCAGAGATACAAGTAGGTTGGTAATTACTGCAGTATCCATCCTACCCTCGATATTTGAGCTCCAGCAGCAAACCGGAGCGTGCCAGTGCACACGACACCTCGCCATAATGCTCTCTAGTGACACCAGTACCAAGGTGCAGTTAGACACGGCGGCAAGTTCGCTTTCTTTTTGTATCTTGGAATGAGCATAAATAGACTATAGAGCCGGTGCCGTCAGAAGGAGGTTGGGATCACTCCCTGAAGACCCTATGACGCCCAACCTGCATCTGACAGGTTGGCGTGGATGGATAACTTCTAGAGTAGGTGCTATGCTATGTAGGTCGTGTCGTCGGCAAGATGCTAGGTTGGCGTAGATAGGAATGTAAGTACACTTCGATATGTAGTCGACCAGCGAGTGCTACGAACAGATTTTTGGTGCTTGGGCCTACGAAGGTCGCTATTGGGTGGTGACAGTTGTTCGTCCAGGTCTGCATCGGGACTGACTGTCACATGGGATGCGCGCGCCAAACGGTTGCATCTTGGGTGTGCTGGTGTATGCGTGTCCCCTGGGTGCATCCGATTTTCTTACTTTTGTTCGTACGTGGTTGGTATCCTTGACAATCCCCCGAAGATATGCGGGATAACTAGACTTCAAGACTTTAAGACTTTAAATATCCACCCGCCAACACAGCCGGCCATTTGCCAAGAGGTTTTGTATGCGCGACAATCCAATCCAAGCTACTCTTGCTTGTGCGATGCCCGACCAACGAACAGCATACGATACACAGTAACATCCGCAAGCAAATCAGACGAAGGCCGCCCAAGGCAAATACTACTTCTGTACAGTCGACCCCGCTTTAAGGACGCTCGCGATAAGGAAACTCCCCGCTCAAAGGAAACTTGTTTTGTTGAGCACCGCGGGGCCGGCAGAATATACGATAATGGGGTACCCCCATTTTTCTGCTGCGTACCCCCTTTTGTTGTGTCCTGCGGGCCTGCGGGCCTGCGGGTCGCTCATTGCACGAACCACGCACCACAGTGAGTGCAGAAGTAGCGACGCACAGACAGCAGAAGTAGCGAGCGGTCTGCTGCTGCAGCTGCAACTGGGTGTTGGTATGGATAGATTCCTCCCATCCACCGGCGGTCCATCTGATGCCGCCAAAACAAGAGTCGTGCATAACCTCGTCCCTCGCCGAGGGCGAGGTTATCTCTCGCTTGGAGGACGTTCGATCTTACAGATAGCGCCCGCAGTTAAGAAACGTCAAAATCGGTTCGAGCCTCACCAATCCCTTCTCTTGGGTCGAAGTACCGGCCCAAGTCGTCCATTTCGTAAATGGCATTTCTTCTTCCTTTGGACTGTCGCATCCTCCCGATTCTCTTGTTCCTTAAACTACAACAAATACTTCGTATTTTCTTTTTTCTATGTTTTGATCTCTGAGGACAATCCACATCATCAAGCCCTCAAGAGAGGTGGTGGAGAGTGTCATCAAACCCGTAAAACAGCGGAGAGCATATGGTTGTCCGCGATGTGTGGCAGTACTACAGTACAGCACTCACTGTGAACAGCAGGGGCGCGGGGAGGCGGGGGGGGGGGGGGACTCTGCCCCCTACAAAAAAAAATGCACCTCTGTTCAGCTTGGGAGGGGGTTGGGAGCACCGCAGATTTCTGATGCCATGGGGGTATCGCACCATAACGTTTCTTCTTGGGGCGTTTCTTACGTTGTGGCCGAGATCGAGCTATGTTTCTTAGCCATTTTTTCTTATTTTTCGAACAAGCTTGAGCCTTTTTTTGAACAGAATTTTTCTTAACTGCGGGCGCTATATCTATTTGTACGCAAAGGGAAGGGGTGGCGAGTACCGTGACACGCAGTACCTTCTTTCGAAGACCGTTCATTCGTATACTCATGAAACTTGACAGGGTCGTAGAGCCAAGCCGCGGGAGGAGGTTCAGGGAACTCTTTGCGATATGTGGAGGGAAAGTCATCAGGGTAGCTTTTGGTCTCCGCCGGGACAGTGGTATGTACTGGTATTCCTCGGTGCGACGCTGAAATACGCTCGTGTTTTTTTTGTTTCACAAGAATGAGATAAATATATGTCTACTTGGACTTTCCTCCTTCTTCCGCTGCCGTCTATGCAGTACATTAGTTGACCAAGTACAAACTGGTGTACTGTTGTAGTTTTCAACACGCCCCCGACTGTTGGACATCTAATTCAAGTATTGTAAATATGTTCGACGTCAACAAACGGTTGCCAGTCGTCTCGGCGATGCTGACTTTTCGCACCGCCCTCTTCCTTAGCAAAAGACGCGTAGTTTGAGGTATAGTATGCCTCCATTGTCCCCGGGGATGTTGAGCTATCGTCCCCTGAATTTTAAGGACGCAACCCCGCTTTAAGGACGTTTTTTTTTGCAGAAAAAACCATGTGCGTCCTTAAAGCGGGGTCGACTGTACCAGGCATGCGATGTTCATGCAATCATCGTTTCCAGTCAAGGGACCCGGCACGTCGCACGCTGAGTCTAAAAACCAACAGTCCCGCCCCACCCACATGACACATATACACACCTCTTGTGCTGTGACCAGAGGGCTGGAAAACATCGTCGAAACTGCAGCATTAGTCGCCACCCTGCTGCTGCTGCTGTTGCTACTGCTACTGCGGCTTGAAAAACCCGCCGCCGTCCTCCTTGCGACGATGGTGGTGCCCGCTGACTTTGAAAGCAAGAGGGGTCGCCGGAAGAGAAAGGCGGTGGTCATGGTGAAGAAGGTGTGATGCTGCACCAAGTGAAGCAGTAGCGTACCCAAAAGCGAGGTTATGCGGCGCATCGCATGTCCCGTTGAGAGGAACTAACAGCGAGCTTTGCGCTGTAGATCAACACCGGACAACAACAGAACTCCGGGTTTGCATCAAAGCATGGTGGGATTTCTCCGCACGGGGAATGAAAAGGAATCTACCCCCCTCCCAATATCGTCTCCATTGCGTTGTGGTACATAGCACTGCCCGCAGAGGAGTGCAACGGGCTGGTCCCAGTTCATTCTCACAATATTAGTCCAGTGGAGTAGGGCCGATTTGTTGTTGTTGTGACACTGATCTGTACACTATAATAATGGAAGTTAACTGCCACGTCCTGAGACACGTTCTCTGTTGGAAGCGACGCGCTGCAAAGCTCGTTGTTATTATAGTAAACTTGATCGACTTCATAAGTCGCGAGGGAAGGGATTGCTGTACCCTTCTCGCGATAAAATTATCTCAGGCAGGAACCGCAGGAGGGGGTCCAACCCCCCCCTCCTATGAGACCCCGGTTGGGTCGTCTAGCTGGTAGAAGTGGAGGATAGGGGCCAGAAGGGCAGACGACAGAATCCAATGATGGGAGAGAAAAAAAAAAAAAACTGGACATCGAATTGGACATATTGGACGCCCCATGGGACGCCATTGGACGTCTAAAACGTCCCATGGGACACTTGCGACGTCCGATTTTGGACGTGGGACGTCGTAATAGACGTCCTATGCGATTCAACATCCAGACGCACATAAGCCAAACAGATGTAGATGTAGGCAATAGTCTAGTACACAAGATCGGATGCGGCTTTCATTGGTGAAGCTGTGTGTCCTGCTAGGTCGATGTAACGGGAAAGTCATGGGGGTTCCATCCGTCGGCGCGGGTGTCCACACAATGGGACGTGGGACGTCCCACGTGTACCGCCTTGAACGTCCAATGGGACCCTCGTGGGATGTCCAACGGTGTGTCCCATTGCGTCCCACGCCAACGGAAGTCCAATGTGTGTCATACATGGGACTTCCCACGCCCAAATATTAATTGGGCGTTCCAACGGTCCCATGGGACAGTCCAACGTGAACTGCGAAAAAATGTACTAATAATAATATAATGTGCCAGTCACTGACCCGACGGGTGAATGTTCACATCCGTGAAAATCGCGATACAAAGCGATCTTCATTCCACGTACAACCATGACATCCGCCCCACCGCACGCTCACGAATGAACGCAGGCCAGCAAGTGTTCTTTGAACACATACATGCAGGTAGGTGTAGTGGCAGTCTCAAACAACGTGCGATCAGGAACAACAGTACAAGAGGGCTGGACGGATCCGACAGGCGTATGCGGGTATATGTTCCGTGAACCGATCGTTCATTCTACGCCTACCTGGCGATAGTAAGGCGGAGATACCAAACATACATGTGTCACACAACGAGAACGTTTCGCCATGCTCATGCACGGGCACACCACAGCTTGCGTGTGTGCTGCACGCCACTGTAGGTCGAAGATCAGAATGCGCACGACCTGCCGTTGGGAAGGCAATCAACCATCGGTCGGCGGTCCCATACCGCATGTAGGACGGATTCGTCGTTTTTCTTCGGCGCGAAACAAGTAACGCGAAGAAAAAACTCGTGAGTGTCGGGCGAAGAGGTACAGACATAGAGACGACTGTGGGCGAGGTGACAATGACAGACTCTGGAATTGTTTGGTTGGCACTAATAAGTGTTTCAGTGTCACAGATATTTCTCTCATTCTTTACCCGAACACATAAGAGGGGGATCCAACCCCCCCCCACCACAACACCACAACACCCACCACCACACCCACCATCACACCACCACACAGGACTGTCACATCTATCCGTCTTGTATCCACCTCACCGCAACATACGTGTTCACGTACGCATACATAGCAGGCGAGGAAACGTCAGAGAAGAGGGCATTGATCCACTTGGAGGAAGCGAAAGGCAAGGGCGTTTTGTCGTGGTTGACAACGCAAGGGTTGTCAGCAGATGAAAAAATGCTGCCTGATCTAGTCTACATCGAGAGTCAATCGGTCGTGTAGACTGCGACACAGGCAAACTTTGTGGTGCAGGTACATTGTCACCATGCAAGGACCGCTTGAGCCGAGCCCACACCCTCGTCTGCACCAAGACCGGCGGCTCAACCTTCCTCCATTACAGGATGGTTCGAGTAGTCCTCAAGACACTGCGCGAGTGCCATATGCCCATCGCCGTTGAGGATTCTTTCCCTTTTACCACAGACACTGGTAGGGGAAAGGGGCTCTACAAGGTGGATTTGGTAATCCCCCCAGGATTACACGCAGAGAGAAGGAAGAGGAACTCTGCACCAAGTCCATTCTTATACAGATAGCGCCCGCACTTGAGCACTCAAATTGAGACTCGCAAAAAATCAGAAGCAAAGAACTTGAGCATCATTTGTGAGCTCGGTTAAGAACCCCACACTAAAACCAATATAGCGGTCATTTGTAGCCCACAAGAGGATGATCAGCAAAATAAGAACCCCAGCCTCGGCCGAAGCTAGAGGTTCTTAAGTGCGGGCTCCATATGTAGACGTAACAATCGTCATTCCATCCGCAGGCCGAAGCATCGACAAGTCGATGCAAAAGCCAAGATCCGCCCTCGAAGATCGAGCTGCAACTAAAGCAAATCACTATGCGGGAAATTTCAACCCGTCTAGATCTACCCTCCTTACTGCTGCTTTGTCAACGAATGGTGGTTTTGTCAAAGGCACCAATCGACTCATCATTGCTATCGCCAACCACTTGGCGCACGAAGCTTTTTGCCGGGGAAATTTTGACGACGAAAGAGCCTTAGTTCGCCTGAACGTTTTTCATACTAACAGGATTCGGTGACGGTTTACCTTCGAGCTAGCTCGTTTTCTGGCGATGCGAACTCGCGATGTGTTCAAACGTCATGGGCTACTGATCGACCAACTTCCACCAGGGCCAATCGGTTGGGATCTCTGCGACAACGATAGTAATGAGGGTAATTCTTTTGGGAGTGACGAAGACGAAGGAAAGGGAAAGGGGAGAAAGGAGGATGACGACGAAGGAGGAGGAAAACATGGAGGAGTGGAAGAGAGCAAAGAGTTTGAGCCAGATGACCTTCCCCACAACAAGAAACGTAGGGCTAGGGAAGAACTGCCCAGAGATTCTTCTTGTCGAAAT